CAAATCACCTTCTCACCCAGCCAAATCTCAACATATTCGTCTTGCAAATGGTCAGCGTAGTTGGGTCCCCACCTTAATTTCAGATGTTTTCCTTGCACTGTTAGGTGAGTGGTGTTCAAGATCCAGGGAGACGAGGCAGGACAACAGGGGACCGGCTGCATCAACCATGGGCAAGTCAGCATGACTAAGATTCTGTCATACTGGAGCTCCCAGCCGTTCCGTATGGTCCTTCGTAAGTCTCCCTTCCCTGGTATTTGTAGGTCTGGGGATCGTTGGTACTTGCCATTGCTGCAAAAATATGCTCCGGATCCCTTTTCTGTATAAAAAATCTCTCCTTGGTTTGTCGAGGTAGATTCTTTCATTTGGCAATTTAATATATGGTCTTACTGGTGTTGTGGGAGCAGAGGAAAGCCTTTTCCTTTTCCGTCCTTGTTTGCCTTTTTGGTTTGGGTGCGACATTGCAACAATCAACTTCCTTTTTCTTCAATTATGTTTGTACTCACTCTTGCTTCTATCTCTTCCTCCACCAGAGTTCGATTTGTGAAACACCTTCCGGGCCCAGGCTTTAAACCCTCTAGATCTTACGCGTGGTTCCGGTGGAGGCCACGCCTCGTCCGCTCTGGTCAGAACAACCCCAATGGAGAATACGCCGATGAATGGGATCATCACGGTCCTCACCGTCACGCGCATTGTCCGCTCCGGCCATGTGGGCGTGGGCGCTCTAGTAGCCCATGAACCTGGTATTTGCATGACTCTGTCTCTTTGCCACCCCTCCGGAGTGACTGTAAAGATCTTACTCTTTTCTTTCGCCCTGGCTCCTGTGTGTCCGAAGGCATCCAGGTTTGTGATCTTATAATGGAGATTCGTGCCTCAGCCTCCTTCTTCTCTTGGCACCGCGGCTAGTTCCTGTATTTGGGCAGTATTATCACAGGAAACTTCCTCGATCAACCGGTTCCAGGAAGTAAGCTCCCAGGGCCCCATCCAGCCCTGGGTCATTGCCATTTCTCGTCGGCAATCTGGCAAGCTTGCTGCCACCGAGCAATACCCTGGTTCATCAGGGTCGCGATAAACCCTGAAGGCAGAAGGAACCTGCACTGCGGCCAGTGGTGGGTAGGTGACCTCTGCCTGGGCTGGGCTGTATGGCCAATTCCTCCACACTGACTCTCTCCAAGTTCCCCTAGGTCCAGCTATCCGGCCCCCACTGGCCTCCAGCGGTTCTTTGTCCGATTGGTCCAGAGATGGTGCAGAGGGTACCCCGGGCTGCTCACGAACTGTTTCAAGAGGAGTCTCAGGAGCCCGCGAGTCCCATGAGGCGGGTGCCAGGGTCTGCAGGGGCTCAAGGAACTTTCTCACCTGCCATCCCTCTGCGGTACCAGCCTGCACCATTTCCCGCTTCTTTAGAGAAGGGCACATGATCCACAGAGGTGCAGCCGCTCCCCGTCCCATTGGCAGAAGCAGTCCCTAAGGTTTAGCCTCACCCCTCGTAGGTCCCACTGGGTGATGATAGTTAACCTGGGCAACGTTTCCATGCGGCACATGCCGCATACGTATGCATCCATAACCTTCACCAGCTTATGGTGCATGTTGTTAAACTCTCTTCTTCTCCCGGTAACCCAAACCGGTTTCTGGTTCCCGGGTCCCTCCCATTGAACAACTAGGGTGGTCGGCATCATGCAGACCACGCTGTCGTTCTTTAATTCTCTCCATTGTATCACCTCCTTTTCTCCGGAGATAAATCCTCTCTTTGCATACTCCAATTTCTTCAGGGCTCTGCCTGCCCAGATCCCCATAGTACTCCTTCTCATGGTAACCACCCCTTTGACATTGGCCACTCTGACGTAGGGTGGTAAACCTTGTATGTTAGTGGCCATTCTTGAGTTCCTGGTTTTCTCCTAGTGTGGAACTGGCTTCAGCTGCTCCACTCCTTGGATTCCTTTCTTCTTGAGTTGAACGGTGTTGCTGTCCAAAATCTTCACCACTGTGTCGGATTTGTCGTACTTGGCTTTGACTGCAGAGTCAGGTGCACCGACCTGAGCCTTGATCCAGACTCGCTGTCCTACTCGAAGTGGGACTTTCTGCTCGAGCTTGGGTTCTTTATCCTCCAAGCCCCGCCCTACTTCCTGTGACGTGAAGGGGCGGTGCATCAGCTCCTCCGCCGGGGAGGGCCTGTCACTTCGGTAGCGGTCGTTCAAGGCCCTGGCAATGTCCAGGGTCTTAGTGCTCCATTCTCTGGAGTTGGCATTTTTCCCAATCCAACTTTTCACCAAACCAATGGTCCTTTCCACCACCCCGTTGGCTTGGGGAGTGTATGGGGGAGAGAAGATCCTCATTACCCCATTCTGTTGGCACCAGTGGTCCACCTTGGCATTGCGAAAGTGCGTGCCGTTGTCAGTTCTGAGCTCCTTAGGCACACCTAAGTAGCCACAGACTTGGTCCAGCATGCTAACAACACTGTTGCCGTTAGCCTTTCTCACCGCTTTTGTGGTCACATATCCTGACATCGAGTCCACAAGCACCAACAGGTACTTTTCTCCGTTCTTCCCCGATACCCCTAGGGGTCCTGCCACATCCATGCATACTGAACCCCAGGGAACGGTACTTTTAATGGTGAGTCCTCCCACCCTTTGTCCTCTCCTTCCTGCGTTGTATCGACCACACAACTCACAGTCTTTTAGGATTCTTCGGACCTCTCTTTCAGGAATCCAGAGTCGCTGCTTTTCCAGTTCCCTTCGCGTCGGAACGGTGCCTGCATGTCCGAGTGCTCCATGCACCGCCTGCACCACTTCCTTCACGTTCTCTTCTGGGACTACCCTTCCTTTGGGCAGTTCTTCCCACTTCTCGATCCCAACAAAGACAACATGTCTCATCTGGACGAAACGGTCCACTTCTTCGTTTCTGCTCACGTGTGGGCCCTCTGGTGCACCACTTCGAGCTCCATGGTTAGCCGCAATTCGGCTATTTTCCTCCATAGGTCTTCGTGAGCCACTTTTTTGTTTTTAGCGCTCTCGAAACCATTTTCTTCCCATATGGATAGGTCTTCGTTAAGGGCCTGAGCACAGTAATAACTGTCCGTTATCACTCTGGCTCTTTTCACCCTTCTCCTCTCCAATTCGAGGAGACCTTCCAGTATCGCTGTTACCTCCCCGGTCTGGGCACTACCGGGGACTTGGCCTCGTTGTCTTGAGCGTTCCTTCTCTTTCTGCTTGAGAATGAACCCCCAGTAGGCCTTGTCGTCTTGTCCTTTCCTCGACCCGTCGGTGTACAGGTTCCACAACGGTTCGGGTGGTGTGTCGTCTGGTTGCGTCTTTTTCTTGCTTGCGGGCTGTGCAGGGCCAATCTCGAGGTCCGGGTCCAGCAGGATGTCTTCCCAACGACCCCATCTGGCGTTCGTTGCTTTTGTGCTCTCTACCGTGGCTTTGCGCAGGAATCGATGGACCTGGCTTTGGGTGAGGACCCTGATGCCCTGCCCTTGGGCTAGATCTTTCAGGGTACTCCAATACCTTGCCAGGACTGCCAACTCCATTTCTTCTGCGGGGTATTTCTTTTCCACGGAGGACAGGGTATAGCTCCACAATGTCACTATACCCGCACCTTCGTTGCTCACTTTTATCACTGCATTGTCCTCGTTGCAACTGACCTCTGCCACCAGCTTCGTTGTCAGACTTTGTGGCTCCAGCCTCAAAGCTCCTTTGATGGCTGTCCTCAGGTTTTCCAAGTTTGTTTGATCCGTCGCTGTCCATTCCCACTTCTTGTGGGTCCCCTCAGGATCTTCTTTTCTCAACTTGGCATACAGTGGTCTTGCGTACTTCTGGTAGCTCGGGACATGGTCCCTAACGTAGTTGCAGAGTCCCAGCACCTTCTGTAGTTGGTTCAGCGAGGTAGGCGGGTCGATCTGCTCCACTTTTCCCCGAAATCCGTCCGAGAGTCCCAGGTCGGTAGAAACCTGGAACCCCAAGTAGTTCACTTGGAATTGTCCAAATTGGCCTTTCTTCAGATTTAGTTTCAATCCTGCCGCCGTAAGCCGTTCAACCACTTTTCTCAATTTCACGAGATGTTCTTCTTCTGTGTCATCTGCAATGAATACATCATCGATGTATATGGTTGCTTCCAGACCGTCCAGTATGTCCATTACGGCTGACAGAAAAACATTTGGAGAGTTTTTGTAGCCTTGTGGCAGCCATTCCCAGACGTACAATTTACCTTTGTGGGTGAACGCCGTCTTGCCTTGGGAGGCTTTGGCAAGCCTCAGTGAGAAAAATCTGTTTGCCAGGTCTATGCAGGATTTGTACTTTTTCAGTCTCAGAGTTTTCAGCATCCCTTGGGGGTTGATCAGGCTGGCTCGGTTGGCGACAGTTCTGCGGTTGAGGGCCTTGAAGTTGATGACAGGTCTCCATCCTCCTCCCGATGACTCAGGCTTCTTGACTGCCTGTATTGGGCTGTTGGCGATGGGATATGGCTCCTCTCGCACTACCCCCAAGTTACTCAGCTCTGTGACGATCAGGTCCATTTCTGCAATTGCACCAGGGTTCAGTGGATACTGGCGGACGGGCGGGTGTACACCCCCTTCTATGGTGTGGGTATACTTTACACCCAGGTCCCCACAGTCATTCTTGAACTGAGCCACTCCAGCCCTTGATTAGCGTTTCTTTTCCCTCCGGGGATAAGTCACTTTCTTCTATCTTTTGCTTGCTTACTTCTGGAATGTCCACTGGTTTGTACCATTGCCTTGTTGCTGATCCCAGGTGGATCAATCTTGCCCCCAGGGTCTTCAGTCGTTTTTTCACTGGAACTCTGGTTTCTGGGCTTCCATGCAGCCCTTTTAAGTCCTTTATTGTCATTAAATTGTAGGGTCCTAGAGCCCACACAATTCCCTTCCAGATCCCAAAAGGGACCTTTTTGATGGTTCCATCGGCTAGTTGAACTGTCAGGTGTCCTTCTGTTTTAAGGCTTTTGTGGGTCATCGACACTTCAGCACCGGAGTCTATCTGGTAGGGATTCCATCCACGTTGGTATAGATGTCATCTCCAACCCAGTAAGCATGCTCCACTGTGACCCGCACCTGCTTAGCCATTACTTTCTTGGCCCTTCGCTCCCTGCTTCCATGCGGGAGACACGAAGGGCCTATTTTTGCTCTATTGTCAACTTGTTGTAATCTTCAGAGGAGAGAAAGCCGGCCCCACCTTTGTTGGCTGGTGGGGGCCTCGGCCCCGGCCTTTGTTGTTGTGGCTGGGCTTTCGGGAAACCGCCTTGTCCTTGGAATCCTTCTTGCCTTTGGAAGCCTTGCGGGGCCCTTTGGAATCCTCCTTGCTGTCTCCTTGGTGTCTGTGAAGGGCCGGGCCCCTCGGGTGGCCTCGCATTGTCATACGAGGGCCTAGGAGCCGCCGGCTTAGGTTGGCTTCTTTTCTCTCTTTTCTCGTCAAAGTGTTTTTTCTTCAAATCCCATTTTCTTACAGTTTCTTGGATTTGTTCTGTAGTACTCTTCTTGATGTTCAGGGTCACAAAATCGATGTTATTCATGAGACCCTTTGTCAGCTTTCTAAGGGCTTGCACACTTCTTTCTGGCAGGATCGTCTGTCGCAAGGCGTACCACGCCTGGGTGAGAGTCTGCCCTTTGTCTAAGCTTTTTCTCGCTTTTTCGATTTGTGACTCTTCATCCTCGCAATCCTCCAGCACTAATCTTCGGTAGTGCTGTTCCGCAGTTTCTTCGGGTCCCATTGGTTGGTCCGTCACATGGGCCAACCACAGTCTCTTCGCTTCATCATTTGTGGAGCTGGACTTTACCATGAGCCACTTCTGCGTCAAGTATTCTTGTACCGACTCCTTCGGGTCTTTGTTCGCCACCATGGCCTTGATCTTTTTAAACTCGTTAAAGCTCTGGGTGGAGGCTTGCATCTCTGTTAACCCGGCGTTTCCTTCAGTTGTGGTTAAGTTGTTGCTCCGTTTTGAGCCCGGCCCTGTTCCCGGCTGCTCTTCTTCACTGTCCGAGATGTCCTGTTGCCGCTCCTTTTCTTCTTGGGCCAACTTGAAGGCTGCTTTCTTCAACCGTCGTAGCATAACATCGTACACTATTGCCAGAAAGCCCGTGCGGAAATTACTTGTCAGCTTCGTGCAGGCTGCGAGGGAGCCGTAGGTTAGAGTCATCAGAAAATTCGCCCATTCTCCTTTTGTGGCATAGACCATTACCCCCTTCATTCCCTCGAGGTCGTGCGTCCACATTTCCGGAACATCGTAACCGGTTTGGCCAACTTCTGGAGCATAGGCCTGTCTCCCGTCTTTGGTGGTCATGGGCCCATATCTGTCATCTCTGGCCAGTCCCCGCGAAGCCAAGTACACCGACAGAAGGGGCAGTGGGTTTTTCTGATTGTCTTGGCACAGGAGTCTCTACTTCAGTTTGCACTGCTACCCCTCGTGAGTTGGTGGTTGGTGTTTCTTTCTTCTTCGAGGGTTTCTCCTGGCTCGTGCTGGTCCGTGGTGGTCTCATTTCTCGGCTCGATGGTCCAGGTGTCAACTCTAGATAACTCCCCTCTTCATCCACTTCCTTTCGTGGGTCCGGTTTTGAAGGAAGTCGGGGTCGCACTGCCCTAGCAATAGGGGCTTCTTCGTCTTCGTATTTGGGCTTTCCTGCCCTCCAGTTGTTGGGTCCTTCGGTCATCAGGAGGGGTCTCAGTATTTTTTCTTTTCTTTCCTGGTATTGAGCTACCGAGGTGACTATGACCAACTCTTGGATATGACTCCAGCTGTGTCCGACTTTCATCAGTTGGTTCATAACTCTCATGGCCGCTTCTTCGGCCACCTCCCAAGGTAGGTCGCCAGACCTTGTGCCGTCGATGCAAATGACAACCCTTTTATAGGTCAACTCACTAGCCCGGTCCACTCCTTCTGCCAGTGCTTCCTCTAGGTCATCCCAGGAGGTGTCCAGGTTTTTTCCCCCAGGTACCCTTCAATTGGTACACGCAGTACCGCAAAGTAGGTTGATTCTCCTCCACTTGTGACCACTACCAATGTTTTATTTTTCCGATAGGTGTTGAGGCTTTCTTCAAGCTCTTTTTTGTACTGAGCCCCTCCGTGGCGCATCAGTACTTTCCTGAACCGGCTGAGATGAGGTTTCAGGTGGGAGTTGGTCAAGACTACCAATCCATGGCCTTCTATGTCCCAGGGTTCCCCGAAATGATTGTAGGCTGTTATCCCTGTCTGGTTTGCATACTTCTTGGTGCCTTCGTGCATTTTCCTTAGCGGCGGGAGGAAGTCGTCCTGTCGCGGGACATTAGGGTGTTTCTTTTTCCTCGTCTCTTTCTTGTGCTGCTCCGGCTCTTGGTTGTCCATGCCCTCCAGTGTCTTTCGCACTAGAGCGGGGATCCCTAGAGTAAAGGCCGATGAGTGTGCGAGATGTCTTCTGCTTCTGCTCAGCAGTGAGTCTTCCTCCTCGTCATCCGATTCATCCGCTCTTTCTTCTCTTGAATCGTCAGACTCACTTTCGGACGAGGCCCCCGCTGGGGTCTCGGTCCCTCCGTGGCTGAAGGTTTCATCTTCTTTTTCAGCATAACAGTCATTGTCTTGTATGTAGCGAGCTATTTCGTCTAGCTCCTTTTTGTTTTCTTTGTAGCGAGGTGTAGCCTTTACTGATGGCTTTATAATGACTTCACCCGCTCCTATTTCTGCTGCCAGCATCTTTACGATTGCGTCGAAATCTGGTGAGGGGCTTATCACGGTGACGATTTTGCTTGTGAGGGTTTGAATCACTAAGAGCCACCATGCCAGCCATTCTCCCACTTCTTTCTTGGTTTTCGGCCTTTTCGGCCGGTCTGGACACCGTACCACCGCTACAGCCATTCCTGAGAGGAGTTGGGGAGCCATAGAACCCCCTTTATCTGCGCACAGACGGTCTACATTTTCCCCAACTGTCGCCATGTCCTCCTCATGTAGGTTGATTAGGTGTTGTTGGACGGAGACCTCCCAGGTGTCCCATCCTCTGCCGTGCAGGATGACCTGGTGTCACACGCAGCTTTTGCCTTTGTCTTTGTCCGGTGTCGATTCTCCCGATGCCGCTCCTCCAGCCGCGCCGTCCTAGTTCTCGCTGCCGTCCGGTGCCGTTCCCTCCGCCTGGTTAGCCGGCGATGTCCCTGGCTCGTCCCGCTGAGTCCCGTCCGGTGCCTGGCTGGGTCCTTGGTCATCTGGTCTTTTCTGCTGGTCTGCCATCTTGGCCTTTCTCTTTGTCTTTGTTGTCTCGAGTCGCCTTCCTCCCAAAGCCTCTCGTCGGCCATTGAGTAGGGATGGGTTCCGGCTCTGGCCCCTCTGCAGTGTCGGATGAGTCTGGTCGATGCTCCTCCGATGTCTGCGGCTTCTCCTGTGCTGGCTTGTGAATACCACGCACAGCTTCGATGCGTCGGATGTCTCGCAGTCGAACTTCTCTTGAGGCTTGGGCAGTGTTACTTCCTACCCAAGTCTCTCCTCCTCGGGTCCTTCGTACACGAATGGCAGCCTCTCTTGGCCGCCAGGATTCTTCTTCTTGGACTCAACGTACTCCTTTTCCGTCAAGTCCCTGTTCGGGTGCCATGTGTTAGATCCGGAGGTTCTCTGGCCCGATATGGGGCTACCTACTGACTCAGCTCTCTATTAAAAGATTGTCGAGCTGG